GTCTCTTTCGTTGCCTCCGTGAGAAAGTCCACCGGACCTCAGTCCACCACAACACAACCGAAGATGGTGAATCTGTTGGGGGTATGAATTTGTTTGGGGTATGAATACTCATAGGTTTGACTCACATTCACCGTCGATTTGGATTATTTCTTCCAACACACACACATACACACACACACACACACACACACAATATATATATATATATATATATATATATATATATATATATATATATATTCTATTATATTAAATATATTGAGCATTTCTTGAAATTTAAGAGGTACAGTTTTCACTCTAGATATACAATCAAATTATGCACATAAACTATTAATCCGTTGTTAAACAATTGAACCCGTAATTATGGCTTAGGAGATTTCCAACTATATTTCCTTTTCCCCGTGTTTCCCCCTTGTTACATCTTTATTCTAAAATCAAATATAAACTTTTAAACCTAACCTAAACTACTAATTCTAATCAACCTTAATTAATAATTAGTTCCCTATAATATCGTTATATGTTACATTCATTTCCGTGAATAAAGAAAATTATAGGTTGAATTTTTGACAGTTAAGAAAATTATATGTTTTTAAATTTTAGCAATAAGCGTGAATAAAGGAAGTTATGAGTTGGATTTCTTTTTTGAAATACCAAATTCATCTCTAATCTCCCTAGGATTTTCTTATATAATCATTTGTTTGTTTAAAATATTATATTCTCCTTCATTTTTGTTTTTTTAGTCATCTTCACTAAGAAATAAGATTACTAATAGTTTAGTTTTTTTTTTAATTTTGTGGTTTATACCTTTTTACGAGAGCATAACTCACATGGACAAACTTATGTACTAGAATGACAAATTTGCATATTTTAGAAGAAAAATCTTGGCCCTGATATCACAATTATGAAAACATTCTTTGATTTTGTGTTTGCACATTTAATCAAATCCCCCAGTCCCAGTCGATTTTACCAACGAATACTTTTTGTTTATGTTCTCTTTAGAGAGAGGAAGAATAAGAGATTGTTGTTTAAGGACATTTTCATCTCCATGGTTGATGGGTTTGACTCTATCAAATTCATTGCATTCATTCTTCGGTTAGTTGTCTTCTAATCACATAATTGTCCTCATGGTCAAAACATTTGACCTCTTGGTTAAAACATTTGACATGTTGGCCTGAAGTTCCATCTCCCCTCTTCACATTTCTCGCTTAGCTTTCTTTTTCCCGTTTGATGCAAATAGATCCACACAGGAACGATGATGATTGTCTCTCTTTCTTGCTTTACTGGTTGCAAATCTTGATATATTGGAGTTTTGTGAGTCTCATGTCTTCTGATCACTATTTCTATATTTCTTTCTTTAATTCCATGTTTCTTTCTTTGATGTAATTTAGTTTTATGAGTCCCACCATCGTTGCTCCTTTAACCATGAAGCTTCGCCGCAATGTACTTTTGTTGCATTTACTATTCTTATTAAAACATTCTACTTTGTAAAACTTTACCTATTACACATTCAATATTGCAGTTGATTGAACACTTCTCGGATATGCTCCACTTGCAGATGTTAAGCTTTACCTAAAGAGGACATTACAAAGGAGCATGAACTTGGGAGCCTACTGTACTGAATGCAACATTCAACTTTTCATTAATTGTTACACTTCCTGATTCAAATTTAGCTTCTATAAATATGATGCACACCTTAAAATATTAATAATTATAACATGATTTTGATCAAATATATTATGTATTTAATCATAGGTGGATGTTACATGGTATAATGTGTTATTATTCATATTGAATTATTTGTTACTTTTAACTTAAAAATAACTTATGTTTGTAATGGGATTAAGCTTTACATCACCCACATAAAGGGAGGATGTGGCCTTAGTACAACTCCAAGTAAGCTTAAGTCAAACATGAATATTCCAAAGTCCAAACCTTAATTTTTGGTCAACATTCCTTAATATATTATAAGAAAGCGGTTTATAAAGTTTATTTGTGAAAATCAACCTATATTTCTCAAGTTTAGGTAACGAAATATCTAATCAATGTTCGCATTTTTAATGCCAACTCTATATTTAACCTTGTGAGAGTCTCATAGTAATGTTAATTACTATTTCGTTCTTATGGCTTGGTAAACTTTGAATGTGGTCTATATTTTACATTTTTAACATTAAATGTCTATTAATCTTTTTTAATAATTTATTTCATATTTGAACCGTTTATGTTGTTTTGTTTGGTATAGTGCGCTTTATATGCTTTGTGCCTAGAGATTACAATATTTTCAGTGTGATATTGCCAATTTTTTCCCATTTTATTTAAATAAAACCTTTCGCAAAAAGAAACCTATTAGCCTCGAATTAAAAAGAATCTAACTGCCATAATGAAATTATTTGTTGAAAAAAAAATATTTTCATTCATCGTCCTGCTTGGGGTACCTCTTTAATGTATTATATAGAAAATACTACTGTTTTTATCTCATAGATAATCGATTTTTATTTTTATCCTACAGTCATAGTATACTTATATTTTTAAAACCAAAACAACATACGTACATTTGTTACCCCCATCTCGAACCATAATTGTCAAAAAGAAACTACATGCCGAAAATAAACAATTCACCGCCCTAGCACGATGTCACATTATTAACAACATACTTTTCTTTTTATCCTGAAACAAGAACATGCCAAAAGAAAACTAATCGGTGAAAAAAACAATTCGTCAGAGGGCTGAAACGAAGTATCGAACACAAAAATATAACTAACCGACGCATAAAAACTATCTGGCACCGCTGCTAGTTTTATCAAATAATAATTTTATCAAATAATAATAATAATAATATATGTAATTAATTTGTATACTTATAATAACTAAAGTAAATCATGAGAAAAGAAAAAACCATTGATTTTCTTTTTGAACCAAAAAAGATGTTCATAACATATAACATGTTTTAGTATATTTTTACGATATAACTCTCATTTATCTCACTTATGCTAAAATCTTATCTGTATAGGAAGAATTTCAATCTCATTTATGCTAAAATCTTATCTCCATCTCTGTATAGGAAGAATTGCAGGAATCCTTATATGTAATCTTTAACTCGAGGAGACCCTAGAAGGATCTTAGCCATTTAAACCCAACAACGATTATAAGGAAGGCTAAAGGCTAGGTATCCTTTAAGATGGTGATATAACGATATCCTCGTATTTTTGTATTGCATTTTCAATTTATTTTGATACTCTTATTCTAATAAATCAAATGGTGAAAGAAGTCAAAAACTTTGATGGTTAACAACTAAAATTTTTCAATAAACTTTGATGGTTAACATCTTTAGTTCCGCAAAAAAGATTACATGTTTTGCAAAATCACTTTGTTAAAACGCACGTTGCCACCCGTTGTACTATAGTTCATATTGAAAACCTTTTCTTTTTCCTCTAATAAAATATATGATTCCTTCTTTCTTTCTTTTTTTTTGCATCATTTCTCCTTAAAACCTCTATTTTTCCTCATATTTACTATTATTATTTTTAATTATTTGCGATGTCATCTTGTAAAAAATCTACTATTTTACAAAATAAATAGAAGATAAAATATTTTTAGTCATTCATAAAGGCTAATTATATATCTACCCCATTCACAATTTGTTCCCTTTTTGACTGAAAAGGAAAAAAAAATCTCACTAAGCAAATTAGCGAAATAGATAGTTTTTTAAGATTTACAATTTTTCCAATTTTGTAATAAATCGTTTTCCATTTTAGCATTTTAGGAATGGTCCTAAGAAACTTACCATTTACCCATTAACAGTAACGACAAATACAATCTTTTCTTATTTGATACGTATCAACCAATGTTTATAACATTTTTACTTTTTAATACTAATTAATGAGTATATATTTTGATTCTATATTAATTAATGATATATTTGGGAACAATTGTTCTTTGACTTTTTAGTCAAGCGTTTTTTTATACGTAATTATAGGCATTAAATAACCTTCCAAATAAAATATTATAAAACCATGCGCTCGTTTTTAAACCCTCTGTATCATTCCCTCCCACTTTTCTTCTCAGAAAAAACCCACGTCCACTACCATATGTGATCTTCAAAACCCTAGTCACTCTTTTTCTCTCTCTACACTCATATATATTGATCAACGTAAATGCACACTCATCGGAGCTGATTATTTCACAGTATCAGAGGAAGATTCAAAGGTACCATGAATGATGAATCTCGCACATTACTTATTTCCATGGATTTTTGATTTCCTTCCTTTTTATTGGCTTTCGAGGATTTAAACTGCCATTTTTGTGTCTCTGATATCAAATATCTGTGAATTTATTCATGTGTTTCAATGCTTTCGTGCTAACTTCTTTATTGCTTGAGCTCTTATGGAATATGTACTTGTTTGAAAGTTCTTTTTACGATTTGTTTATAAGTTCCAAAAAAAATGTCTGGATCGGCGATTTTCCTGGAAATCGTAAGGAATTTGTTGTCGGATAACTTTCCGTTTTGATATGCTTTGGTTCTGTAATCGAGATGAATGTTGAGTAAGCCGTTTTTCAATTGCAATAATTAGGAAAAACAGAAGAAAAGACCCTTTAGTCAAACCACAGCCAGTTGTGGTGTAAGATTCGGCGGTTTTAACTTATTATTTGGATTTCAATTGATTTGATGTTTATGCTCTCCTCTCACACCTTACTGAATATTATATATTTTATGCAGTTCAATCTCAATCGCTTCTGCATCCATCAATACAGTCAAAGATTGGCTCTCGATTTCCATCTAATCCTTCAGATTTCTGGACTCACGTTTGTAGATCGATGATGATAGCTACAGTAAAAAACTCCATGATCCTCCGAGTTTAACCGATTCAAAATCGATCTCATATAAGTTCAACTCAGATTTATCAGATTCTTCTCGAACAACCACCGGATTTTATCTCCAGTTTCCTTCGTGAAAAACTTGTACGCATTCTCGTTGACCTTGATATCCGTTCTTGGCATTTAAAATGAAGACAAACTTATCGTCAATTCACAAAATCGCATTGGTTACGGCGACATTTTCAGTATCACTACTCGTCGTCATAATGATTGCCTTCGTTACAGGTTCGTTACAGATTCATCATTGTTTTTGTTTCCTTTTGAAATGTTTTCCTTCCATTTTGAAATTATTCTGTTATTCATTCGATGAACAGTTCATATTCTTAACAAACAATCATCCTCCATTGATTCTCCTTCATCATTGATCATTTCACTTTTTGTTTATTCTGTTAAGGCGTAACGCAACATGGCGATCTTATCATGGAGCAAATGAACAGTACTATTTCTGGTCCCCATCGAAAGCTTCTTGGTAAATAATTTTTAACCTTTTCACCTCCATAAATAAATCTCTCATGTCTCTCTCATGTGTCCATCAGAATCTGAATCGGAAATTCGGAATCCCTTTTTCTGTTGAATGAATATGAATTAAAATTTCCGTTCCGATTACTGTACAGCTGCCATTGTTGGTGGTGGTTGCACGTATGTTTCATTCTAGTGGTCCATTTGCACGATCATGTCGTTTTTATTTTCTGTGTTCACTTTTTGCAGAAAATTCTTCAGAAACCGGTGAAGTGCTACCAGAGCGAAATTGGGGGGACAAATGCTCGAAATCCGACATTGTCATTAACCAGGGGCCCACTTCTCCTCTCCCTCATGGCATTCCGATCTACACGGTGGAGATCATGAACATCTGCGCCACCGGCTGTTCAATCTCCGACGTCCACCTCTCCTGCGGCTGGTTCAGCTCTGCACGGCTGGTCAACCCCCACCTTTTCAAGCGCCTCCGCTACAATGACTGCCTTGTGAACGACGGAAAGCCGCTTATACCCGGCCGAACGGTGATGTTTCAATATGCTAACACGTTCGCTTATCAGCTTTCCGTCTCCTCCGTCACCTGTCGATGACTGATAAACGCCGACCACCGACAAGAATAAATGATAAATCCAGTCTGAAAAAGATGTTTTTTTTTTGGTTAAATTGCATTTTATACCCTTCGAGTTTGAGTTTTTAATTTTTATTGCAGAGTGAAGAGGTATTTATTTTGTTACTATGACTTTTTAGTTTGTAGTTCAACTCGAAGGGTTGAAAATGCAATTTATTTTAATTTGTTCTAGCAGTAGTTTTGAGGTTTTTGGATGAATGCGATGATTAGAGAGAGGTGAATCATAGATTTAGCGATCAATAAATGAGAAGAGAATTATTGTTACATTTTACATTTATTTATTTTCTTAATTTGATTGAATTTTATGTTTGACAAACTTTTTATATGGAAATTTACTTTAAAGATTATAAAGCTTATATGTGATTATAACGTTATAGAAATTTATTCTATTATAATAATAGATAAAATGCACAATATTATTATTATTTACAATTTTTTTTTTGTAATCTTGGTCATTTTCTTGGTTATCCGATTGTAACTATTGATGTGTCATGGGGTGCTTATGTATTAGTCTAACGTGTTATATTAACATGACATTGTTTGTTATTTGGGAATGATACGACTAGATGAAGTGTCAAAATAAAAAAAAAGACAGAAATAGTAAGTTTTTAAATTTTTCAAAATTGATATTATGATTTCATCTTTTTTTTTTTTCAAATTTGAAGCTATTACTTTTTGTTTCAAATCAAACATTAATTTTACAAATGAATTAGGAAAAATGAATTTTGATTTAGAACAAAAAATAATGAACTATAAAATTTGAAAAAAATGAAAACAAAATAAGACTTAATATCTTTTGTGTCTTTTTTTTCAATTTGGACACGGTTGACACCAAATAACCTAATAGTTCTATGTCAACATGTTATGTCAAATCTGGATAACCGACAAATGTTAGTAAAATGGTAACTGGATAATGGACAAATATGGTGAGGATTGTAAAAATTGCAACAAAAAAATAATTTCAAAATAGAAAATGTATCTAAACATAATGACTTTTGTGCAATTTACTCTATAACAATAAATTAAAGGGTAAATTACACGGATGGTACCTGTGATTGATGGTAGTCTGCGTACTTGGTCCCTGTCCTTTCTTAAATTTAAGACTATTATGCCCTTAAACTTTTTAAACCATTTTAATCATTTTTATTTATTCATTATTTATAAATAAACTAAATATAATATCAAATAGAATAATAAAGAATAAAAATCCTAAAGCTTGTCGTTCCCTCTCCTAGCTCTTCACACTTCACCTCCTTCCATCACTCCCTATCACCATCTTCATCTCTTTTTCGTTCCGAATTTCCGGTAACCCTAATCTTTCTCCTCCTCCAACCACCTCTCTGTCGTCTCTTCCTTTGACCTACTTTTTCCCTCTCACACCCTCTCCAATCGTTCATACCCACTCGTTCAATTCGATGACCCGATCTGAAACTCAACGTAGTTGAGAACTAAACTAGTGTGTAACATAATCAAAGCAGACGGCGGGAAGGCAGAAATAGTGATGGTTGGTGGATTTTCTGAAAATTTATTCCCACGTATATAGGTTTTCTTAAAATCAAGAAACAATATTGATGTATGGAAATCGTTTTCTCAGAGGGTCGCCACTCGTTCAATTCGTTTTCTCAGACGACGGAGGAGCATGAGAGAGAGACTAAGATGCACGTGAATCGTGATATGTTCTCCGATGGACTAATCCTTCCATCTCCAAGTTTCCCTAAATTGTTTGGATTTTGATTTATTTGCCCAAACTACTGAATCAGGGTTTTCGACCATATTTTTTTGTTGTTTTTGCTGGTTTCGGTAACTATGGACGATGTTGAAGTGGAGGTTGTAGTGACGATAGGTTGTAGTGGCGATGATCGGTGGAAGTGGTATCGGAGATGGAGGTGGTGTTGGAATCTGTTGAGCGGAGAGGATGTGGGGTTTGCAGGTTTGAAGATCCGTTATCCCAAAGCGAGATTCAATTTGCAGGTTTAAGAATAGAGCTTGAAATCCAGTTTTTTTAGAGCCTTGTGTTGTGTTTGTAATCATCAGAAAAACAAAGAGGCAGAGGTTTACGACATAATGGGAAGGGAGGGACGATGGTCGGAGAAGGATGAGTGTTGATGATGGAGTTCCTGAGACGATGAGGAAGAAAAGAATGAGTGGGACATATATGTATAAAAAAATCTTATAATAATATAGTTAATAATAAACAATAAGTTAAAATAATGCATAAGGGTATATTGGTCTTTTAATCTTGGTCCGGGACCAAAATCGCAACAAACACAAATATCAGGGATGGTCCGAGTTAAAAAATATTTATAAGGACAAACGTGCAAACTACCCAAAACCATAGGGACCATTCGTGTAATTTACCTAAATTAAATTGTAACAATTTTTTGCAAAATAAATCCGAACCATTCATTTCGAATCTACCATTTAATCGCTCAAGCGTACTGAAAGGACGAAACAGATTTTATTCATATATGAATCTATATTCATATATGAATGAATATATATTTATTCTTATATTAAAATACATATATATATATATATATATATATATATATATATATATATATATATGTTCGCAAGTGATTATTCATATATAAATATGGCGGTTGGTGGTGGATGTAATGACGGTAAAGGTGGTGGAAGTGGCAGTGGGTAGGTGGCAAAAGAGAGGGGGAGTGGTGGATTCACATATAAATATTACGGTCCCCCGTCACGTATATACGACTGAGGGTTTTATGGCAATAAATAAATAAGTGGTTGAGATTGATTCCCATTTTTAACACTTTTTATTTTCTCAATTGAACATACATTTTTAAGTTAAAACTAGGGTTTGGACCGTCCATACGATGCTACTGAAGCCTTAGTATGTTGAAAAATGCAGCTCGACGTCATATATATCGTGGAGATGATTAAACCATATAAAAGGAGCACAAAAATATCAAAATAAAATTCGAATACAAACAATTATATACGGAGGAGGCGGACGAAAATAAGACTTGAAAGTGTATCCTAAAAAATTAATAAAAAAATATTATTTAAAAGTTATGTAAATGGCCAAAATGTAACTTTAAAATATAGTAAAAGATCAAATCGTAATATATAAAATACTAATAAATTAACTTAAAATTATAAGGGATGAAGACTATTAAATAATGATTAATTGAAGGGAAATAGTGTAAATATGAAAATCTTCTATGACCGGTACCTATATAACTATTTCGAGAAAAATTGTTGTTTTATATTTTATAATAAATGCTTGACAATATATATTATATAATATGATTTCGTTTTAGTAAATTTTAGATTTAGAAATAGAAAGACAAATAAACAGTGAAACCTCTTTACAAACCATATTTGGTATTTAATATATCTATATTTTGTATTTAATATATATAATGCATAGGTTAAAATCTAAAGGATGGAACTCCATTTTGCTTTGGATCGTTATTACCTTACAAAATATATCTATATTTTGTATTTATTATCTTTTTAGTTTACATTTTATTATAATTTTAGTTGTAAGATCCATGTATTACATGAATTTATTAAAAAAAAAAAGTTAATTATGAAGGTTTAAATATTTAAGAAGTTTTGATTTTATAAGAAAAATAAAAAAAAATATTGAATTACTAAAATTAAAGTATTTTTTTCTTCTTTTAAATTTAAACAAATAATTTAGATAAATAAACAAAGAAATTAATGTTACTTTAATTTAGAAATTTTAAAATTATAAGGAAAGTTAATTAATAAAATTGATATTCATTTATTATTTCATTTATTTAATTATTACATTTAAATACTATGTGGATTTAATAAAATGAAAAAAAAGCATAAAATAACATGTGGAAAAAAATTTAAAATAACTACAAAATGACATATAGCAAATGAATGAGAGCATGACAAGTGGCAAAAAAATCTTTATTTATTAGAGTGTATATACACACACACACACACAAGCAAAGACTCATATAAGTCTCCGATGATTTTTTTTTCTTTTTATATAAAATTAGTACTCTAATCCAAATTTTAAATCATTTAGGCATTGACTCAACAACTTAACAACAATAACAACAAAATTACGGCCTTTCACAATTATTGATGTACCTTAAAGATCTCGAATTAGTTTTGTAATGGTCAAGTGGTTTTGAGATCGGTCTCATAACTGTAACACCTGGTCCATGGTACGCATTTAAATTCAAGTATTTTTCATGTTTTTCCCTGGGACTCAGCGAGTTGGAGGCCCAACTCGTCGAGTAGACTCGACTTTGGACCCGGAGGTTTAGTGACCTACTCGGCGAGTCGGGGGACCGACTCGACGAGTAGGAGCTGTCTGGATAAAACCCTAATGTTAGGGTTTGCACCTTATTTAAACGTCTTATTTTGCCTCAACCCAGCCCCCATCGTCCCTCCCAACCCAGAGAAACCCTAAATCGAAACCCTAAGCCCCTTTTGAGTGTTCTTGAGCTTTTTGGTGACATTTATGTGCATTTGAAGTTGGAAGAGAAGAAAAAAGCTTGGGAGTTCAAGTGGAAGCTTGTAGATCCAGAGGTTTTGCTTCATTCTCAGTTCATTCAAGGTAAAAAACTTGAACCTTGACCATTTATCTCCTAGATCTTGTTTTGGGGCTATTTTCTACATTTTCTAAGCTTTTGAGAGGCTATACTCGGATTTGTATGTATATTTGGAGTTGCACTTCAGATCTGGAACCATTAAGGGTTCCCATGGCATAAATGTGCCAACTTTATGGCCTTGGGAGACCCATGCAACATATAAACCCCTTTTTATGGCTTTTTGAGCCAAAGGCCCATGCATGGACATCAAGTTTGTAGCTTTACGTATAAAATGGGCCCTAGGAGGCCAGATCTATGGTTTTGATGCATTAAGACCCATTATAACCGACTGAATAGTTTTGGACAAAGAGGGACTCGGCGAGTCACTTGGGTGACTCGTCGAGTCTGGTCGTAT